CTCTCTCTCTCTCTCTCTCTCTCTCTCTCTCTCTCTCTCTCCACGCCTTTATATATAAAAGCCTCTCACACAAATGCACTCACTCCTCACTTAGCTCTTTGCTTCATTTCCTCCAAGCCAAACAAGGCACTACCATAGCTACTACTAGCTTATATTAATTAGCTTGCTTCACAATAATATATATACATAGAGAGAGAGAGAGAGATGGGAAGAGCACCTTGTTGTGATAAGGCAAATGTGAAGAAAGGGCCATGGGCGCCTGAAGAAGATGCAAAGCTCAAAGCTTTCATTGAGAAATTTGGAACTGGTGGAAACTGGATTGCTCTCCCTCAAAAAGCCGGTAATTTATTCATTAATATCGAACTTAATACATAAATGGACTCCCTTTGTGGCATTTAAAATAATCTCCCTTCACAAATGTTTAACTTCATGATTTTCGTAATGTCTCGCGATTAAACTTGGAACTTTAATTTACTTTTGAATACGGGTAAGGTCTCTCCGTAAACACACCTTCTCCAGACCCGGCTTTCATGAGATTCTACTGAATTATTCCTGTTCTTGTGTTGTCTAGCTATTAAAACTATTGAATACTCCCTCTATTATTTAATAACCGCAAAACATTCAACCAATAATATTTCTTATAATAAATCAGCAAAAATCATTTAGAAGTAACATAATAAAACTATATTTCGTTAGAAATATCTATTTCAATAATAATAATAATAATAATAATAATAATAATAATAATAATAATAATAATAATAATAATATTGTCGTTGTTGTGGTTGTTATTGTAAAAAGTATATAATTAGTCAAAGTTCTGCACAAAAAATCAAAATGGACTCCAAAGAAAGAACAAAGTGGGAGGGGTATGATAGAGTGTATGAAAATCAGAAAAAAAAATTGTGTATATCTGTAGCTAAATATAAAGGATTTTAATAAATATGATTCTTTTATTTTTATGAACCAATGTTGGGTTTTTTATTTATTGCTATATATATATATATATATATATATATATATATATATATATATATATATATATATATATATATATATATAATCTTGGAATAATTATATGGTGTATATGATTGGGTATTGTATCATGTAAATAATGAAAATCCATGGATTTGTGATTTGCAGGACTAAAGAGATGTGGGAAGAGCTGCAGGCTGAGATGGCTAAATTATCTGAGGCCAAACATAAAGCATGGAGATTTCACTGATGAAGAAGATAGAATTATTTGCACCTTGTATGCCACCATTGGAAGCAGGTATATAGCTATTTTACTTCATTAGTTTTAATTATTATTTTAAATTATTAATTAATCACTAATTAGCTTGAAAAGGGATTACTTTTTTTTAAAACTTATTTTTTTTTTCCTTTTAATCTACTCTGTATACTCTTTCCCTCCAAAAATTATCTTCTTGTTCACTATTCATAGGGTCAAACTTTGTTGACCTATTTTCGTTGTCTACATGATGGAATAATATAATCATGTTACCTCTAGTTTTGAAGATCTTTTGATATAGTTTTTAAATATATAATTTTTATTTTATTAATTTTAAACCATTTTCATATAAATTGATTAAAAAAGTAATTTAACGCGCAACGAGAAGATAATCTTTGGATGGGTAAGTTTTTGCCATGCATGATTAATCACAGAGATCTGATTTTATGGGGCCTCTTTGTGGGTTCCATCATCTAAAAATTTGTCTCAACATGATATGGGTTGTGTGTGTGTGTGTGTATATATATATATATATATATATAGATCCGTATAAAGGAAAATAAAGGAAACTATATATACAAAATGGATAATTAATTAGCTCTCTTGGGTTAACATGGTGACAAAATATAATAATACAGTAATAAATTCATAAAAAAACAAACACAGTGAACCTGAAATGATGTCTTTTATTATTGCTTTGTTTGAATGGCCATTGATGACGCCATGCTTTTGTGCGTGCATGGGTCAGCTTTAGAGCTCCCCCCAAACTTTTTGTTAGCTACAACTTTTTTTCATCATTTTGTTTCTTCATATTTGTTCCATTCCTATATTCTTTTCCTCCTACAAAAATCATCATCTGTTTAATTTTTTTGTCTAATTATATTATACTTTGATCAAAAATTATGAAAAAATATATATATTCAATTATTCTACTCTCTCCGTTTCTTAAAGTTCTTCCTTTATTGACTTTTTAAAATTTAAAGAGGAATATTTTTGTATTGATTTTTCAAAAATATCCTTGATGCGATGTGAAAAAATAGGACGCGATAGATAGATAATTAGTAAAAAATTATGATGTAATAGGTAAGGTAAAAAATAATAAGGATAAAAGCGGTTTTTTAATAGAAAAGGAAAAGAGTTTGTGGGACAAGAAAAAACGAAAAGAGAAAGAGGTTAAGAGACGGAGAAAGCATAAATTTAGTAAAATCATATTAATTTTAAAATATATAGTCTCCATATATCATATTCTATAATTAACATTTATTAATTAAAAACTATATTTAATTTATGATCAAATTATTGCATAATTTGACAATAAAAAGGTCAAATTGCAATAATCTCTTTGGAGGAGGGAGTAGTGTGTGTGTGTCTATATATATATATATATATATATATATATATATATATATATATATATATATATATATACACACACACACACACACACACACACACACACACACACACATATATAACTATCCTAAAATTGATACCCCACCCGCTAAACCTCCTACCCCAACCCACCCCATGCCCCCACTCCAACCCACACTGTTGATGTGTTCATCCCACATTTGCAATGCAGCTTAATATTATGCTATATTTAAAAGCTTGGATTCGTCAACTTCTTGACTAAACTTTTGAGGTTGAATTAGACTCAAGTCGATTACTTCATAATTTGAGTTCCTCAATCCCTTGAGTTAATTTTAGGTGTTGGACTAAGACCAAGTCTATTATTTCACACACACTCATGCACCCTCTCCGTTAATCACCATTAAATCTGCTTAATGATGTTTAAAGGGGAGATTGGGGAAAGGGGTTAAGGTGAGAGGTTTGAAAGGGTAGGAATCATCAATTTTATTATAATATTTTTATTAATTATAGAAATTCGACAATTTATTTTAAAAAATAAGATAGTGAACAATTAAAACAGGAGGAAGAGAGTAATTATATTGTATATTAAATTGGAGTAATTTTTAGAAGTACATACTCCATCCGTCCCAAATTATTTGTCACATTTCTATTGCCGAGGCAAAATATCATGTTTTTTATTTCAATTTATTTTATTTACATATTGATAAAGAAATAAAAAATAAAAATTACATACCAAAAAACTACATGAAAAGTTTTTCGAACTAAGAGGTGTCAACAATATTTTATTTTATCAAATAACCAATAAAAAAATAAATATTTAAATAAAAGTTCCCGCGACTGTTGAAAAAGCAAATGTGACAAATAATTTCGAACGAGGTAGTAGTATATACCGAGTAGTAATTAAAGTGGTTGTACGGAACCATAGCTAGATTAGTCTTTACTTTTTAAGAGTATATATTTACGAATTTAAAAATGTAGTATTGTATGAGTATTTCTTTTTTATTAATCTAACATCTCTGTGCGTACGGATAAGGACCATATAACAAAAATGGCAGGTAGTGGGTACTTATAAAAAAAACTATGAGCTTTTCCTTTTGTTATTTTAAGTGGAAAATAATACTTCCTTCCTCCAACAACTATCTTTCCGTTTACTATTTATATGGTCAAACTTTATTAAATTTGTTAGCCTATTTTTGTTACACATTTGATAGTAAAATATAGTCATGTCATCTCTAGTTTTGTAGATCTTTTAATATAGTTATTTTTAATATGTAATTTTTATTTTTTAAATCCCACACAATTTTTCATATAAAATAATTTGAAAATAAATGCATTCAAACATCTTAATGCGCAACGAGAAAATAATTTTTGGATGGAGGGAGTAATCATAAAATTAATTAAAGTCACCCACTTTTTTTTCCTCCATTTTGTTCAAAGAATAAATAAATGAAGTACCCCCTATTTGTTTCAGACAACTTTCAAAAGCAAAATTTAATACTCCATTTTCTTTCAAATTATGTAGAGTTAAATGATGTATTTAATTTGAGACACAGATGGAGGAAGTATATATATTTAATTATTATAATTCAGTTACGGTTGTAACTAAGTGGACAAAAAAATAATTAAAATACAAAAAAAAATTGTGGATGGCAGGTGGTCAATAATAGCAGGACAATTACCAGGAAGGACAGACAATGATATCAAGAACTACTGGAATACCAAGCTCAAGAAGAAACTTATGGGAATGATGATTTTCCCTTCCCCTCCTCCTTATTCCAAGAGAAAATTATCCTCAACAACTTTCTTTTCTGCAACAAATAATAATAATAATAATGCTCCTCCTACCCAAACTACCCTTGTCCCCTTTCTTCAACCACCACTACCCCCTCAACCATCACTATTCTCATTTTACCCCCAAATCCCCCCCACCCTTGAGCCCCTCCCTCCAATCCATAACAACCCTAGCTTCCCGTTCCACGACGACGACGACGACAACAACAACAACGACGTCGGTATTTGCCTCGGAGGTCCTCCACTTAGTTGCAATTTCAACGACGCCCCGAACCCGGGCTTCTCGATCAACTCCGTGTTCGCCGGAGCGACAACCGAGGCGAGCGGCGGGTCGTCCTCCTCCTCGTCAACCGCGGCGGCCGCTGACATCATCAAGCGAGAATCCGGCGACCTATTGGCGGGCTGTTTCCTACAAGGAGACAACGACATTGTTGTCCCCAGCGGCGTGTTCGAAGACCAGCACAAGCTGTTCTTCAACGACTACGGTCGCCATCTTTCGTCCGCCTCCTCCGACGAGGAACCGCCGCACGGTTGTTTCCGAGACGGCGGGTTGTTCCCTCTGATGACCAGCGATAACAGCGGTGGCAGTGCGGCGGCGTGCGGCGGTTATTATAATGATGGGAGGCATGAAATAGTAATAAATAACAGTGATGAGAACAATGAGGGTTTCTATGTATTCAATGTTGATGATGACAAGGGGATGTACTACTACAACTAAAACTAGAACTGAATGATGACTGAGTTTCTGGGCAGTAGAAACTGGCAAATTTCTCTACTTTTTTTTATATATTTTTAAATGTAATGGCGGCCGCCAATGGTGAAAAAAAAAAAGGAGACTTTGTTCTTCTGTGGAATAAATTAATATTAGAAGTATTTTATTTCTTCTTAAGATTCTGTTTGCAATTGCTTAGTTGGATGCTCTTTTTGTTTTGTAATAATCTTTTTTTGACTTTTCAATGTATGCTTTTCATGATAAGCTCATAAGTTTGCTGGCTTTTAATCTCCTGACAAAGCCACAGCTCAGTGACCTCATCTTTCTCGTTGTTTGCCTCATGGGCCGGTGCAGATTTTTATACTCCATCCGTGCCCTAACACGTTTTCACATTGTTTTTGCTTTTATGTACCAATCATTTTCTAGTGTTCTTTTTCTTTTTTGAAACGTAATCATTTTTTTAAGGAAAAAAAACGGAATCTTTTTTTAGTTGTGCTTTATGTGTAATAATGAGGCTAAGTAGGGATGCAATTCAACTCGACCCGACCATAACTGACCTGACCGAATTCTTCACTTCTCGTTCTTTTCTAACCCTTAGTCGCCTTTTTTTCCTTCTCCATCTCGCCACTCCCTTACCTTCATTTTTTATCTCGTCTATCTTGTTAATCATGGTCTTTTGTATAACTTATTTTATTTTTTTCTCTATGGAGTACACTCTCTCATTTTTGTATATTCAAATGTAGCAATTTAATGTGTAAAAATTTTGGTAGGGTTTGAGTCAAATGTTTTGTTAATATAAAAGCGTGGTTTAAAATTCGTTATTGGTTAAAAGTCGGGTTCGGGTTCAGATTTTGGGTTTAAAAGTAAGGTCGGACTCGGGTATAGTAATATTCGACTCGAACCCGTTGCCATCTCTACGGCTAAGGGTTCTTTTGAATTTCTAACTCTTAAGTTTTAATAATCTTTTCCAAGTCATTTTAATTTTTTCTAGTTTCTTCCAATTTTTTATATTTTCTTCCAATTTTTTTTAGTTTTTCAACTCATTTCAGCTGATTCCAACTTTTCTCGTTTCTTTCATCTCCTTCTAGTGTTTCAAACTCTTTTCAGTTTTTACCAACTTTTTTCTAAATTTTCAAATTCTGATCTTTCTTTTTTTTCAACTCTTTCCAATTTCTTCGAACAAGTCTTTTAAAAATTATTTACATATTTTTTTTCATATTATTAGTATTATATCATCATCATCATGATCATCATCTATCTCGATACAATAGAAAACAATGATAAAAAGTCACAACTTATTCATAAACTGAATTTTTGAACTTCTTCCTTGCTTTGAGTGGTAAGAACTAGGAATCACACTCTCCAAGATTCACGGGGAAGTTCAATTCACTTAGGTTCGAGCCCTAGAGATGACAGAGACATTGGCTCATTGTGAGTAGTTAGGTTGAGAAAAAGTATGAAAGGTACTATATTGTAATCAACTCAATCGCACAAAAAAATTCATTTTAACCTTTGAATAAATCTTAGTTAGATAATATATATTTATATATAAATAGAGATATTAATAGTCAAAATATTACATCAGAGACCATGAAGAGTCAAATAAAAAAAAGATATGAGACATGAAATATTTATTCTTAGCCGTGTGAATCTTTTTTTGGTGGTTGCATGATGTGTAACGCGGATAGGGTCATGTTAGAGTGCCACCAAATGGGTGCTACCATGGTGTACCCATATTTCGCACAGACAAACTAGACGTTAATTTTTACTCTTTTCCAACCCAAAAGCATGGGTGCACCCATGGTAGCATCCATGTGCTGGCACCCTAGCATTATTCATGTGGCTATAGGTTCCTTTGAATATCTAACTCTTAATTTTTAATCATTTCCAACTCATTTCAAATTTTCTGTTTTTTTACTAGTTTCTTCCAACTTTTTATCATTTCTTACGTCTTTTTTCTAGTTTTTCCTCAACTCATTTCAATTTTTTCCAACTTTTCTCCTTTTTTCACTTCCGTTCAGTGTTTCCAATTCTTTTCAGTTTTTAGCAACTTTTTTCAAAATTTGCCAACTCTTTCCTATTTTTTCTACTCCTTCCAGTTTCTTCAAACAATGTCTCTAAAAAATTATTTAGATGTATTTTTCATATTATTATCATTATTCTTATCATCATCATCATGTATCTTGATAGAATAGAAAACAATGATATAAAGTCACAACTTATTAATAAACTAATTTTTGAAGTTCTTTCTTGCCTTGATTGGTAGGGACTTGGAAGCACACTCTCCAAAATTCACGAAGAAGTTCACTCAGGTTCGAACCCTAGCGATTGTAGAGGCATTGACTCATTTTGCGTCATTAGGTTGAGAAAAAGTATGAAAGATACAATATTGTAAGAAATATTTGCACTAAATAGCACTAAAACTTAAGTCATTTCTCTAAATAGCACTTAAACTGTTTTTTTCCTTAAATAGCACTTAATAATGTCCATAATGTCCAGTGATTGCGAATATTTACTTGAATAATGACTAATGCATAATGACTAAAAGTGCTACATTGGAAAGAAAAACATATGTAGTGCTATTTAGGGAAAGTCATTATGTTTTAGTGCTATTTAAGTAAATTCCTCGTATTGTAATCATGTTAATAGCACTAAAAAAATTTATTTTACCCTCAGAATAAATTTTAGTTAGATAATATATATTTATATATAAATAGAGATATTAATAGTCAACATATTATATTAGAGACCATGAAAAGTAAAATAAAAAGAAAGATATACGACATGAAATATATATTCTTAATGAACAATAAAGGAAGACATGGAGATTTTTATTAATAAAATATATTTATAGTTTTTTGGAACGAAAAAAAAGGATAGATATTTTCTACAACAAATGGAGTAAAAGCATTGTTGAAAAAATTAAAGGGAGTACAAGCTTAGGAGTCAAATTCTAAAATGAATTATTTTTTATTAAAAATTACTTTTAATAATATATAGTTGTAGGGATGGACACGGTACGATATGAAACTGGTTCCAATTCTGGAACCGGCGGTTCCCATGCCCATCTTAGGGGAATCGGATCCGGTATCGTACCTGTAAGGGCGATTCTGGTTCTAAACCGGTTCCGAATTTTTTTAAATCTTTGGTAAAAAATTTTTATATAATTGTCTCCAAACCCTTTTCTTGATAATAAACATTGTGAATCAATTACAACCTCAAACAAATTGAAACAAAGCATAAAAGAGATAAAAAACAAAAATTAAACCGGTTCTGTAATGGTTCCAGTTTTGGAACCAAAAATTAAGAACTGGAACCAGTTCCTTTTCCCACGGGTCAGGGTAGTTCTGACACCTTCCGGTTCTGGTTCTAGAACTACCGGTTCTAATTCCGACCCGGTACCAATTCTGAATCAAAACTGTGTCCAACCCTATATAGTAGTGGTTTCATTCTATTTTCTCAAATCAAACACTACAAAATTACGCTAAATCTGCGGCAGAAACTTTCTGTCGCAAACACTCCATTTTGGTCGCAGATTAACAAATTGTGACGGCCTTGCGACGGACTACATCCGTCGTAAATAAATTGTCGCATTTTCGAACTTTACGACAGAATAATGGTCATGTCGCAATTTTGCGACAGCCTCCGCGACAGAAATACCAGATCTATTATTTACAACGGAATGTTAAATCCGTCACTAATTGTGATAGAATTTGCGACAAACGTTTTTGCATNCAATATATATATATATATATATATATATATATATATATATATATATATATATATATATATATATATATATATATATATATATAGGGATTGACTCCAGTGAGATGACACCTTATGGTGCGATGACAGGCTTCGGTCAGATGACGCAAAGCTCACCACTACCCACTGCAAAGCTCACCAAACTGTAAGGCAAAGCTCACCATATTTTTTCAACACTTTGAATTTATTTTGAAAAAATAAAATCAAAGGAAGGGGTGCTGACTAGACTTTGACCGTTGACTCCAGCATTGACCGCCGCTGGTCGCCGGCCGCCGCCGCTAGTCTCCGGCCACCGCCGCCGCCGGTCGCCAGTCGCCGGTCGCCGCCTCCATACTCCAGCCGCCGGCCGCCGGCGGTCACCGCCGCTGCTCCGCCGCCTACGGCCTCCGTTGACCGGTGGTTGACCGGTGTTGCTATTTCATTTTTAATTAATTTTTTAATTTTCAAAATTAAAATTAGGTGAGTTTTGGGGTTCAAAGTGGTGAGCTTTGCTTTATTTCCAGGTGAGCTTTGTAGTGTAGTGTGGTGAGTTTTGCGTCATCTGACCGAAGCATGTCATCGCACCGTAAGGTGTCATCTCACTAGAGTCGATCCCATATATATATATATATATATATATATATATATATATATATATATATATATATATATATATATATATATATATATATATATATATATATAATTTTCAAATATGCGTGAACCACTGGTTCGACCACTTGAACAACTGGTCCGACCAGTGAACCAGTACCTTGACCGGTTTGGTCCCCGGTCCGGTTCTCAAAACTATGGGAAAAACACATTCTTTTTTACTACCAAGCTAATATACTTACTCTACTCTTGCAACCAAAGGAACTCGACCCTTGTTCGATACTCTTCTACCTAGTCTCATAGATCCCGAGTTTTCAAATCCATCATTGGTGCTTTCATTGAGAGTTTCGAACACATCAAGCATGCTCCGAAAATTATTGGATTGAGAAGAGTTACTAAGTCATCCACTACCGCCAATGGTGGTGGTATCAATATGACTGTGATGACACCCACTAACACATTCCAAGTTGGCTTGGACATCAGCCTGAATGATTTCACAAGCCAACACACCACTGACCTCCGTCATTGCATTCCGCGATGAACGGAGAGGGCCTCCGACAGCCCATTCAACAAATACCAGCTTTGTGAGCCGGTATAGTGACCCAGTAGCCTAGGGGAATAATCCGCGGCGGGGGGATGCTGCTGCCCGGGGATCTGAGCTCACTATTCTTTCAACTCGGTGAGACGTCCAGTGTTAGAAACCCCACCAAGGATCCCAATAGTTCTTGGGCCATGATGATGAACCAGTCCATGACAGGTTTTCAGGCGCCGGTTTCCATGCATCAACCGACGTTCTTGCATGAGGGACGTCGGGAAAACCCGTAGAACATATCGGAAAACGCGGATTTTTCACTCACCGCCTGAAGGGACTGATGGAGGATTCCTGTATGGGCCCGTCACGAGACGAGCGCATCGACAAGGAAGCATACCACACCTAGCAGAAGGGAAACAGCAAATCCCCAAAGGAGATGGTGGCAAGAAAGCAGACCAATCAAAAGGATGAGGCTGGGAGACGCCGCGAGCCCCTGAAGGAAGGGCAGAACGAGAGTGTATCGCATGTGCCCGTGTTCAGCCGGATGCGGGTGCCCACAAAAGATTGGATGCATGGCCAAAGGAACACCATTACCCGTGACCGGGCAGACAAGGTGAGGACACCATGTGAGGAACAGTGCGAGCGTCACCGGAATGAACAGCCTGAAAGGTTTATCCCTCAAGCTGAACAGCCTATCCATGATCTCCTTTTCAGGCCGCCGCAGGGGGCACCCGAAAGGGTAGAAGGGGGGCGAACGTCCTGAAGGATGAACATGTCGAATTCCTCCAGAGCCCTTTTTCAAACTCCGCTCTTCGTTTTCCGAGAGAGTGCTGAGGGGTCCTTTGCCGGGTAATTTCCAAATGCCAGCCATACCTAGGTATGACGGGACAACAGATCCCCAGGATCACTTCAACCAATACCAGATCCTCATGAACGTCGTAACGTTCTTTGAGGAGGTCCTCTACAAAAATAATATCCACGCTTGTAAAGCGTCTCTCTAAGATCAAAAGACGAGTCGGGTGCGGTCTCATTAAGCGATAGATCAAGAAAGTTGATGTCGTTGTTGGAGCCCGCGACATCGAAAAAAGTGTGCCAAAACCACAAGTCATTTTAAACAATATCTTTGAGCGTGATAGTAGGCTTGGGATGATCCCCCCGGGAGAACTGACCATGCCACGCAGTGGGACAATTTTTTTATTCCCAATGCGTGCAATCAATGCTCCTAAGCATGCCGACAAAGTCGTGTTTAGCGGCATGTGTTGCCTGTAACTGCTGAATGTCGTTCGCTCTAGGCTTGCGTAAATATCTTTTATGATAAATTCGAATAATAATTTTAGAAAATTTATAAACACCAGACCTGATGCTCCTAGCCGACATCTTCAAGTATTCGTCGAACATATCAGATGGCGTCTCGTACGTTCAATATTGACGAAGCGCGGTAGTGCACTTCTAGACACTACTAAACCCGCGTCGGCCTCTTGCATCAAAGCGTTGGGTGAACCAAGGCACCTCGCGTTCAATATCGGCGACTATGCGTAAAAAGAGAGGACGACTCATCCGAAAACGATTACTAAAATTCTCAGGTGTATAAACACACGAAGTATTGAAGTAGTCATTGAGAAGTGAAACTTGGGCAGCCGCTCGATCCCGGTTTAAACGTTGTCTTCGGGTCCGGCGTCGGGAGGATTCTGCTTCTTCTTTTTCACCTTGTTGCCACCACTGATAACAACTCGTGGCGAAACAGCGAAAAATTAGAGCTCTTTTTTCATCATCGGATGAAGATGATTTCATTTTTAAAATATATTTTAGAAATAATTATAATAAATAGAAAAATATTTGAATATTTGATAGAATTATAGAGAGAAGATAGTTAGAGATGCGTGAGAGATAGGTTTGTTTTGATTGAATTTATAGGTTTTTTATTTGAATTTAATTTTTTTTGTGGTTAATGGCTAAAAGAGCCATTGGGAGAGGGATGGAGCCGCGTCAAATCTTTAACGGGTGGGAGCTGACGCCCTTTAACGCCACTAGGGGACGGTGTTTAACGCCCTTTGAGCGTCAAACGGTGGTTGACGCCGGGGGGCGTTAGCCCCATTTCCATTGCTCTAAACCGGTTAAAGTAGAGCATCAAATTAAGGTACGTAGTGATGTCATTTTGAGCTACCAACAGCTTCCGTGCAAGATTACTGAATACGTACTCGGTATATACTTACTCGAAACCCAACTACTCTCATTTGGCCGATTATAAATTATAATGCATGGCAGGAGACACACAGTAAACATTCACGTGCTCCACTCCCAATATGAGAGTCTCTCTCCCTTCTAAAACCAATGTGTTAGTGTGCTTTATAATGCTTCGTTAAATTTCTTTTTAATTGAATTTATTAGAATTATATTGTTTGTAAAACTTAAAAATAAATAATATATATGCAAAAACTACATAAAAAATATACGTAACTAGAAGCGTGTTAAAGACTATCCCACATCGTAATATGAAGAGAAAAAATAAATTGGTATATAAGTTCTTGAGTTAAACTAAAGTAATGGATTGGATTTAATCTTTTAGTGTGGTTCAACTCAAGTATCTTATTTATCAATCCAATTATCCCTTCACAGTCCTAAATTCTATCATGGTATCGGAGCCATTTTTAACCCACTTTGTTTGTTAAGGTCTTCATCTAGAAATTCATTGCTAGCAGCCAATTTGAAAGTTGTTCATCTGAAAGTGGAAAATGGTCTGTGGCCCATATAACTCAGTTGTTCATCTGAAAGTTCATGCCTAGCGATTCGTAGTCCTTTAGGTGTTGACACTTTCGATCCTTTCATTCTCTAGGGTGGGAGAGTCCATTTGCAAGTGGTCAATCAGTTAGATTCAAAATGACCTGACTGTCTACTTGAGGGAGAGTGTTAAAGAGTATCTCACATCGGAACATGAAGAAGAAATAAATGAGTATATAAGCTCTTAAATTGAACTAAAGTAATCGATTAGATTCAATTTTTTAATGTTGTTCAACTCAAGTGTCTTATTGTCTAATCCAATTATCCCTTGAGGGTATATAGGCACTTGAGGAGGAGGAGTATTAAAAAGTATCCCACATCAGCACATGAAAGAAGAAATAAATCGGTATATAAGCTGACAGAGTGAATAACATTTGACTTAATGAATAGTGAATGAGAAGCCAATTTTAAGACAAAAGAAGTACTCTCTCCGTTCTCAAAAACACTTCCTCTTTCATTTTTTCCACTTCCAACAAAACACTTCCCTTTTCTATTAAAAAACCACTTTTACCCTTACTTTTTCATACCCTACCTATCACATCATACTTTTTCTTTAATAATCTATCCATCACATCTTACTTTTACCCATCACATCAGGGGCAAAATTGGAAATCAACTATAATTTAACACTTCCTTATTTTTACCCCAAATCAAAATGGGAAGGGTTTTTCCAAACGGGGGAGTACATATTATGATTTTGGGTTCGTAAAATTTGTCCTTTTTGTTATTAAAAATGTTGACTCAACAAATGTGTCCTTTTTTAAACTAATACTTCCTCTGTCACAAAATGTAAGTAACATTATGCTAAACGAAGTAAGTTTTTGAATATTTTCAATCCATTCTATTTAAAGAATGGTCTACAAATAAAAATAAAAGTTACATATTTAAAAACTATATCAAAAGTTCTACAAAATAAGTGGTGACAAGAATATTTTATTTTATCAAATAATCAATAAAAATGCAAAACCAAATCAAAGTTCCCATGATTTTTAAATAGTGAAGTGTTGCTTACATTTTGGGACGGAGGGAGTAGAACCAAATTGAATACTAATTTATTATGGAGTATTTTTGTGGTCAAATTCTATGGTGAAGCTAAGGTCCACCATGGACCGACATACGAGCAAAATAAGCATTTTTTTACAACTTAAATAAGTATTTTTTAAATAAAAAAATTAATAAAAGATTTTTTTATGAGAGAAGATTCACAAAATTGATATGCACCCAAGGTGCATCAAAGAAGCACTCATTCATTTTTGTAAGGATTTTTTTAGTACAATTAAATGAAGCTAACAATACAAGATATTATCAATTTTGAGTTCTAAACTTAAAGTTGTGCTAGAGTATGAACAAAAATAAGGTCACTATAAATTACTCCTTTTGTCCCTCAAAACTAGACCTGACAAAACAAAATTGGAACCGTTTACTCGAACCGAATGATTCAAAATAGAAATCGAAATGATTTGAAAAGTGAAGATCTAATTTATAACCGAAATGATCCTAACTGAACTTAAAACAAACTAAATATATCCATACCCGATTTAAATCCGAAATCAATTAGATCCGACTGATTAGATCCGAAACTGATTAGATCCGAATCCGGGGTCATCTGAAATCGATAAGATTTGAAACCGATTATATCCTAAATTGATTCTCCCTAACAATAAGTATATTATATTTATGTATATTAGTGAATAACTATTACATTCATGTTATTTCGATTTTTTACTTTTATTTTACCATTTGAATTAGTTAAATGCTTATATTACTCACTCACTATGCCCCAAAATGAATTACCAAATCTAAACACAATGTCAAATTTCATATGTTTTAAATTTATTTTAGTTATAAATTGGTATTAAACTGAACAATACAACTTACATAAAAAATTAGTTAAAATTTATACAAACTAGAGCACGGTTAAAAAGATACTTTTTCACACCCCCTCCCTCATGCAATATTGTGTGATTGGCTAAACATGTGCTTTGGATTACATTTAATTTCACTCAAATTTTATCTAATTGTAATCGATTTCACTCAATTTCAACATATTTTAACCAAATTATATGTGATTTGATAATCCAATTATATTAATTTTATATCAAAACTAAAAATACTTTTATTTCAAAATTCGTAATCTAAATTTATAAAATACAACTAAAAGGATAAAATAAAAAGATATTTAGGGCGAAGGGAGTATAATTAGAAAAAATATAAAATAATATGAGGTGATGAATTGATGATAGGTTGATAAATGTGATATGACAAAAAATGAATGGGTAATTAAATTTTAATTACATGCACCTCACTCGCACATAAAGGGGGTGTTTAGGCCATGTGTTATCATGGTGGGAGGAGGGCGTCACTACCTTCTTCACGCCTCCTTACCATGATGACACTTCATTTTTTGGGTGTGGCCCCTTGCTGCATGAGGGTCATCCCGTTGTGACCATCCTGTTTGTTCTCGTTCAAAAAAAATTGTATGCGTGATCAAAGAACTAGAAAGCTGCACTTCTATATTCTTCTAGAGTTTGAGAGCCTGGAAAGCGATAGACATGCAGAGAATGGCTCACAAGGAGAAAAAAAAGAAATTCCACGCGTTCGCTCCAATCCATAACACTCTCCTTGAAAAAGAATTGAGTAAATTCCATAAAAGGTCCCCAGTTATAGGTCGTTTTACATATTTAGTCCCTACATATCAAATATTACTAATTTAGTCCCCAATTATTATATTCATTTCCACGAATGGTCCTTTGTTAACATTTCCGTTAAGAACGTGGATAAAATTGTAAATTCACACTCTTTTCTCTCATCAATTAAACTTCTTCCCTCCCCTCGCACTCCTTTCCCAAATCCGTCGCTGAGTTTGAAGCTTTGAACCTAAAACCGAAATTATCACTCTTCTCTCAATTGTTTGTCGAACTGGTGGAACCCAAATTCGAAACTAGTAACCTTCATGGATGATTTTTAATGTTTATTTTCTTTGCAATTTCTTGAGACTAATCGATAAAACTCATCCATAAAGCTTATTGATTTTGATTTTAGGTTCCACCAAGAAGATTACTAATTGAGAGAGGAGTGATCATTTCAGTTTTGAGTTTAGAGCTTCAAACTCAGCGACGAGTTTGAGAAAGAGTACAAGAGGAGGGAGAAAGCTTAAGTGAGGAGAGATAGAAGTATGAGTATACAATTTTATCCATGTTCTTAACAAAAACGTTAACAAAGGACCAATCGTGGAAAATGATATAATAATTGGGGACTAAATTAGTAATCTTTGATATGTAGGGACTAAATATGTAAAATGACCTATAACTGGGGACCTTTTATGGAATTTACTCAAAAGAATTCATCAAATATACTCTCAAGCATCTTCGTCATGCAAAAAAAATCTATCTCCCCAAACTATTTCTGCCAGTTCCATTCCAGTACTAGTGCTCTCAGCTGCTTTTCGTTACTGATGATTAGCTTGCAATAAGATATTAGAAATATTGGGAGTAATAGAAAATTTATTATTATTTACTTTCATATTATATTGTTTCCATAATTACATATTCTACTCTAAGTAGGATTCTATATGCATTTTCTATATATATGGATAGAATCTTCATTATTCAATAAGATACATTATTATCAAACTGTATTGCATACATAGTGAATACAAAGATAATCTTAATCAAAGTAGAATAACAATTATGGTAACACTAGAATAAAGAATGCAAATATTAATAATAATAAAAGATGCATGTGTGATAAAATTTGTATATAAAAGTTTCTTTTGAGATGATGGATAATTTTAAAAATTATAAGAAACATTGTTTTTTTAATTAATAAATTTTATATTTTGTAATATTATAAAATAGTCGTGCATATTTAAAAAATATGTTAAAACAACAAAAAATATCTCTAAAATAGTCAGAAAGTGAAAATTTTATTTAAAAAAAGAACAAACATAAAGGTTTTTTATGTTGGAAAGTGAAGGGTTTATAAAATATAATAAAAACAATAATTTAATACAAAATTAAATATGCATGTGTGGAGTGACATGTGTATCTTGATTTACATGTGGCATGACACATGTCAGTAGTATGGACGTGTGGCATGACACGTGTCATCACCACAACTATTTAACTCTCTTTTACATATATACAAGCATTTTAACCCGTGCGACACACGGGATTAAATGATTTTTTTGTTTGGAATTTGTAATTTTTTTTACTACAACATTTTCAGAAATCAAACAAAATAAAACATTGACATTAAAAGTTAAAATAATGTTAAAGCATATAATATTTGCTCATGATAATTTTACTATAAGTTGGTATCTTATCTATCATTATAAGTTACGTTGTAAATGAAGAGAAAATTTTATTAGTTTTAAGTTCAGTAGTCAATATAATTTTTGAAGGAATATTACATTTATTTTATATTAAATAAAGTTATTATAATAATTATTAGATCAAAATGTTATTGCTAAATGTTAAAAGTTCTCATTTTGTTTTAATTTTTTTAATTTGCTTTAATTTATTTTTATTTTTCTATAAAAATGATTTAATTTCCTTTATATTCTATTGACTGATTTTTAAGCTTAATTAGAATCTGAGCAAAATATTGTAGTAAAAATTTTATTGAAAATTTTGTTAGTTAAGGAAGAAACGTTTCTTTTTTCTATTAATCATTTTATTTTATGCAATACCTTATTTATGTTCTAATTTTATTATATTACATAATTTATGTAATTATATCATGATTTAGTTGAAGGAAACTTCAAGTCAATGCTCTTGATGACATGTCTATTGAGGTGTTAAAAAATGTTCAGTCAGTATGCCACATGTCGTAATTCTAGAACTCCAACTCTCCTTTTTTATATATAAAGATAAAGATATATAAAGATATAGGATTATAATATTTTGTTTCCAATTAAGAATAACCAAAAATACTATTCTGCATAACAATACTACCATGTATCTACCACCAAGCATGTATGTTAAGATATGTTTTAGAGTTTGATAGTTTTCCTGTGTTAGGATATGTTTTAGAATTTGATAGTTTTCCTATTCTTGTTATACAGGAACAGAATCATGGTAGAAATATAACTTTACTTATTTGCTAAACCTTCTATCTATATAAAGAGGTTGAATCTTTGTAATCTCGAAGACAATTCAATATAGAATTCTTCTCCATTTTTATTTTCTACATGGTATCGGAGTCAAATCTTGGAAGGCCTAAACCCTAGTTTGTTGTAGTCTAGCTTCCGCCGTCGCCTGTGATTTGCCCGGCGACGGCGGCGTCACTGTCTGTTCCTGTTCCCATTGTCCAAACTTCAACATTGTTCTCTCAATAGCTTAATTTTACTCGTTCACCCACAAATTAAAAAAAACTGGTCATAATCAATTTCTTGTTTAATTTTTGTTCAACATCGTTCAACAAATTGGGCACCGCCAGTCTCAGTCGTCGTCTCCGAACAGCCATCGTGCAGACACCGGAGGTCGGATCTTCTGGTAGTGTGTAGATCCAAGTTCTCCAAAATACATCAATCTACCGCACCGCTGATTCAACCTTGTGCTCGCTTGCTGAAATCGTGCATCCCGTTTTTTCCAGAACCGTCTCTGTCCCGTTTCCTTCGCTCAAATCCGTTACCGCCGTTGCTTTTCCGGGGATCCCTTGTTGCTGTTGCTGAGTTTTGGGGTGAATTGAAGGTGGTAAGCAGATTTGCAATAAGTTTGCGATTTGGGCGGCGGTGGTGGGTGGAATCTTCATCTACTCCCTTAGCCTAAATTCGTCTGCCGTCAAAAGTTGGATGTCGACTAGATCCGTCAATTTTGTTTTACAATCAGAGTCTAGCCGCCATGCGCCATCTGTACGCTGTTTGGGCAAAGTTCTTGTCCAGTCCGCCATGTCTCCTCCGGCTAACATTCCCAAAATTCTGGCAGCAATAGATCATATCCAGTGCCAATTCAGTCTAAATTTTGTGTTTGGGTAATTTCAAATCTATTCGTCCTTGGCTTTAAAAAAAACTTTGCTTTGGGTGTTATGTTGAGATATGCCGCATAGCTTGTTGAACTGTAGTGGAATTATGTTCTGCTTGAAATGTGTTGTTGCCTTCATACTTTGCGCAAGAGGTTGTTCAGCTTGTCGTCATCCAGTTTTGATGATGTTTTTGATGACACAGTATTTGGTTGTTAGACGTGTTTGGTATGTTCCGTCGCAACCTGCCGTACGTACGGCATGTCAGTTTATGGGGGTCGATCGTCGATCCTCAGTCCGACAACATTCTGTCCGTTTGTTTGTCGTCCCGCGTGGGAGTCATTCGTCATCAAATTTTGGTTGTTCGTTTGCTCAATCCTTCTGTCAATCAAGATCAATTCTAAATATCTTTCTTGGGAAAATCGGTAAGCCCTAGCAAAGTGTCGTACCGAAATAAGTTCTGTGGATAAGCGTCTATTGTCTTCATTCATCAGTCCGACGCTGTCATCCGTGTGGTTCGTTCATTCGTCGTCTGTCCACCGTTCCTGATCTGCAACTCGGTCAGACAGTCTATCAGGTCCGTCTTCGTTCATTAGTTTGACGTCATTGTCCGTCACATTCGTTCGTCTGTCAACAGAAGTCCTGTCCATCCTCCGTTCGTGATTTGCGATTCGGCCAGACATTGTCCAAGTTATTTATTGTTGTTTTTTTCTAGTTTTATTGTTCAAGTTGTTCATTCGTGGTCCTCATTCTCAACTTGAGGGGGAGTGTTAGGATATGTTTTAGAGTTTGATAGTTTTCCTGTGTTAGGATATGTTTTAGAGTTTGATAGTTTTCCTATTCTTGTTATAATAGAAATAGAATTATGGTAGGAATAGAACTTTACTTATTTGCTTGACCCTCTCTCTATATAAAAAGGTTGAATCTTTGTAATCTCGAAGACAATTCAATATAAAATTATTCTCCATTATTATTTTCTACAATGTCAAAACACAATGTCAAAAATAATGTGAAATGTTAAAAAAAAGTTACCCCATGCCCACAGAGTGCCAAACAGTGTGCTTTACAATGCCAAAAACATTGAATTGACAACATACTATAAATCTATAATGCTAAGTGGAGCATGGCATCGCCAACATAAAAAATGCAAAAAAATAATGTTAAAAACCTAGGTCTACCAAACATGTAAAAAACTATAGATGCTCAAAAAAGTACATGAAATTGTCTTCTTACGAATCACGAATAGCAGACCTAATTGAATCGGAGTGTTTCTTTGACTTACTTTGGGTGTATATCATTTTTGTGGACTTTCTCATATAATTTTTTTTATTTTAAAAAAATGCTTATTTAAGTAGTAATGAAATGTTTATTTTGCTCATATGTAGGTCCATGGTTGATCTTAGGTCTTTCATAGAATTTGTCATTGAATTGAGAGTTCGTTTGATAAACAGAATTGAGAAAATTGAAATTTAATTGTAAATTGAAATTCTATAGAATTAATTTGGATGGAATTGAATTCTCCTACCGTAATTCATTTTTTGCACTACCAATTCCAAATTTGCATATTTTTGTGCTACCAAACAGCAGAATTAGAATTATTGTCTCCAATTTCATAGTTTGAATTCTCTGTAATCAAAGACGCATCATTGGAACGACTTAAGCCCCCATGGTCAGAGTCCATTAAGAAATGTGATATTTTAGTACTAAAACATTAGTCATTTCTCAATTTGGTACTTAAATTTTTTTATGCCCTAAATATTACTCCCTCCGTCCTATAATGATCTTCCCGGTTCATTTTACGAGGTTTGACTGACTTTATTTTCAATTCAATTTATTTGATTGTAGGTATAAAATTAAAAAATAAAATTTATATATTTAAAAACTAAATCAAAAGTTCTACAAAACAAGTGGTGACAAGACTATATTATTTTATCAAATACCTAACGAAAATAGGTAAAGAAAGTGATTAAAGTTTGACCGGGCAAAAAGTGAGTGGGAAGAACATTTTAGAACGGAGGGAGTACTTGAATAATGTCTAGTGGCGAGAACAATGTCCAGTAATGATGAAAATTTAGTTTGAACAGTGTCAAGTGGCGGTGGACATTACTTGAACAATGACCAGTGGTACTACATTCGTAAATAAAACATATGATACTACTTTAAGAAAATCATTATATTTTAATACTAATTAGGTAAATATATAGGTAAATTCTCCTTGAAAGATCGGAGCAACATTGAGATTGAGTTCATCACTAGAGGATGAGTCTTGTACGGAGTATAATTTTAACCTAGCTAATGAATTAGGGGCAAGATGGGAATAAGAAATTCTATATAATGGATAAGTAGTTAAGTACATAGAGATCCCATTTTATCTATATCATTTGATTCTACTTAGGTGATTTTTCTTAGAAGAAATTAGAAAATTTTGGGAAAAGTTAAAATAAGTTAAGCAAAAATGTTAGGGATACACTATTGGAAAATTCTTTAGTGGGCCTAAGGTCCATACTCATTTTATAGAATTTAGTGTAATTGTTACCTAAAAGAAGTGAGCATTTTTCAAACTATAAAATATCTACATCAAATCCCATGAAAATGTGAAAAAATCCATATTTTAAATGTGGACATTGGGACCATGTAAGCATCGCTCTACATTATTTGGTACCTCAATTTGCACAACAACACATTTCTCATGGTATGAAAAAATTGAAGAATGGATAAAAAATAAATTTAATGGTGTACATAGAACATTACTCTTTTTTATTAGCGTCAGCCAAGGCCGGTCCAAGGGTGGACCAAGGTGACCTATCGTTCCAGACTCATTTTTTCAAAGGCCCAACATTTTTAATTTTTAAATATATTTTATATATGTTTTTAATAAAAAAAATTTAAAAAAAGTTCTTTAAGATAGCTATTATATATTTATTTATAATACTACATTTTTATTGTGTGTATTACTCCGTACTATAATACTCTGTATTAATTGTTGTTTTAAAAACAATAATTCATATAGTATAATTTGTTAAGGCCAAGACCAATATTTCGTCTTCAAATCCTCGGGTTCAACCTTGCATTTTAGATAAAATTTTAATTAATATATATCAATTAATTTTTAAAATGATTCATCTAAACACCACGGTTAAATTACTTAAATATTTTTATATTAAAATATTAACGCTAAACGCTGAAGCTGATGTGAAAGACACCCTTACAAAAATTAGAGGAATTTGAAAGAAACACCAAAGATTAAAATTAAAAAATGTAAGAATTTCAAAAAATGTTAACCATAAGAACTTTAAGCTGCAGACGAAAGGAACAAGTGAAGAAGAGTGTAAATTTGCAGGTTAACCCAATAATGGGCCCGAATTAGGTACGTTCTTCATTAGATCAACATTTTTGGCAGAAACACAGGTTTTGTCTGTTGTCTGATTAAAGCCCATATATGGTCCGTGGCCACATGAATCCATTTTTATGGCCATAATTAACGTACTTTTTCTTCTTTAATAATAAAACGTGACAAAGGACTACACACTTATATATATGCAATGATTCATGGCACGTAAATATAGATTCGTGAATTAAAACGAATCTTTTGATCTTAGATTCTAAAATTATATTATGACCGTGGTAAAATTGATACTGGTAAAATTAAAGATTCCTACCATCCCTAACTTCTCTAGACCCCATGCTCCCTCATTGACCTCCCACCACAGCACCCCTTAACCCCTCTCCCCCCTTCCCCTCATGTCTACCCCATTTCGCGGATTGACTACAATAATTTACTGTAGCCAATTGGCAAGATATAGTGGGAGCATTGATGTTGCGGTGAGGGGGCAGAAGGTAAGAACCATCAAATTTACCAACAAAGCACCGTAAATTTCCGAATCTTAATAAAACCTTGAAATTCAAGGTCAAAAGATCTCCGCCATTCATGAATACGCACACACAGATATATATATATATATATATATATATATATATATATATATATATATATATGTATGTATGTATGTATGTATGTATGTATGTATGTATGTATGTATGTATGTATGTATGTATGTATGTATCTATATATATATGTATGTATATATGTATATATGTATATATGTATCTATATATATATATATATATACATATATACATACATATATATATAGATACATATATATATATGTATGTATGTATATGTAGATGTATGTATGTATGTGTGTGTATGTGTGTGTGTGTATACTCCCCCATCCAAAATTATCTTCTCGTTGCGCGCTACGATGTTTGGCTGGAGTTATTTTCAAATTATTTTATATGAAAAATGGTGTGAAATTAAAAAATAAAAATTCCATATTAAAAAACTACATCAAAATGTCTACAAAACTAGAGGTGACATGACTATATTATTTTATCAAATGAACAATGAAAATAGGCGAACAAAGTGAATAAAATTTGACCCTGTAAATAGCAAATGGAAAGATAATTTTGAACGGAGAGAGTATAAAATAACACATCCCCAAATTTACTCTTTATTTATAAATTAACATAAGCTCAATCTAACAATATTCAAATTATTGTTCAAGATGGTCATGAAGAGCATTAGGATGGTTTTTTTAAGGGAATCAATTAAAGCGATATTGATTATTTTTTTTATGAAAAATAAAAGATCTAATGCCTGGAAATGTGACGTCATGCCTTTTGCAAAAATAGGAAGAATGTGTCGACCCCGAAATGCTTTAGACATACCTTAAATAAATAAACACTTCACCCACACTATCCCTTTTTGTTTTTTGACATCACAGGCTATTTGTGTAATTAGGACAAACCCCGTGAAGTAACGTTGCTGACATCACCCTGGCTAGGTGGGTGTGGCTCCACCCCTCACACATACTCCATCCTTCATCCGTTCCTGAAAACTTTTCACCTTTCTTTTTTTATCCGTTCTAAAAAATAATTCTTATTTCTATTAAAAAGTCATTTTTACTCCTTACTTTTTCATACCCTACATATCACATCATACCTTTTTACTAATAATCTATCCATCCAATCCTACTTTTACTCATCACATCAAAAGACA